TTCAGAATTGGCCAGCATTATGTCGATATTTTGGTAATTCTGTTAACATTTCCGCATAATGCTGGTCAGTTTTAAACCCTACGTAGGTTTACGTGAGATTTATTTTCCTGATGATTTTTGATGGAACAGTCTGTCCGTTGACACGTTAAACCACTGTTGTCTTTGAAGTTGAAAGTCGGAATGATGAATTAGTCCCATGCTCATATTTTCTACAGAAATATCGGTTATGTATGAAAGTAGAAAACATTGAGTATATAGTATAAAATAATATTACTATGAAAAATTAGATCGAAGGAACAATTAGAAAAAAATAAAAGAAAAAGAAGTTGAAAAATCTCAAACAGAAAATAATTAAACCTACCAGGATTGTTAAACAGTTGGTCTATGAGGAGTAGACAAAGTCATAGATGAACAATTTGTCATGAAAAAATCAGCTAACAAAGCCAAGTAAGAAAAGCTATTTCCAAGCTGAATAAGAAGAAATAAGAACAGCAGTATCAATCAATATCCAAAAGACTGGTAAGGAATGAGTGAAGATAAAATGGTACAGGCACAAACCCTAGAAGATCATTTAGATTTATCAAACTTACCTTTGCAATAACGAAATAACCGGTCTAGACATAAGTAAGTGCAAAAACTACCAACCATAAATTGAACGGCAATAAAATTACTTGGTAAAAACACAAACTGAGAATCAGATAATTTGGTTAGATTTGAACAACTTATGAGATTTAATTCATAATGATTGTTCAGTTCCTTGCAACAATAAAATATCCAGAAAATTTGAAGTTTTAGATTAATACTAGATGTTCTTGAAAGATATAATTATTAACTCTATGTTGTAAAGATAGACAGAATAGCAAAAGCCATCTACAATCGTGTCAAAAGGCTTAGGGTGGCTATGCAGCGATATATTGCTTCAGTCATAACAAAGTTGATGCTCGGTGGAATAATATTAAGAAGCTCTTAAAGAACAAAAATTCGAATCTTTTTTAAGGAAGTTTGAACATCCTATTTTGGAAAAATTGATTCTCAGAATTATAATAATAATAATCATGCTCCAGTCGGAAAATACTTGAGAGAAAGAGAGAGAACAGGGAACCAAAAAAGAAGGATACTTGGAATACTTGCAGAAGATCGACAGAATAAAAGAAGACACCTCCATTACTCCTTCAGAGGAAACTTTATTTCGAACTGTCCAAACCAAAATTAGCAAAAATGCTTCCTGAGTTATATAAGAAGACCACATTGAATAAGTTAGATGGGAAAGAAATAATAATAAAAATTCGCTTATTTGATGAGATTTGCAGTTATCATTATGCTATCAGTTGAGTGACTGATTGGTAAAAGATTAAGCAATAGAACATACAGCCTGGTTCCTAAAAATAGATTCAAAGCAAAAACCTGAAACTAATATTAAAAGACAAAATGGAAGAAATACAACTAAACCAAAATTACGTACATTATTGAATTATCGTGGATTCCATCGTGTAATTGGTTATTGAGGAAGAATCTTTTGTTCCATATTTTAATATTAACAATATCCGAAGCAATATTTAAAATTTAAAGTAATGAATGAAATTAATTTTTATTTACGTAATAATAACAATAAACTGATTTCATGAATATGAATGTATTTATTCCGGAGAAACGGAGTTTTTACCATTTCACATTAAAATATTAATGTGTGATATCTACCAGTTTTACTAAAACTAGATTCTAATGTTTATTGCTATTATTATTATTAACATGAAACCAATCAATGTTTGATATGACGAATATAAAAATTACTTTATATAGTTAAAATTACCATTTTAATAGAAATAACAGAATCAAAGAATGTGATAAAAGAACTGAGAAGGAAGAATAAATAATTTAAAGTTTCAATTTGATTAATATGATGATAAAAGTTTAAATTTTGATAATCTGGCAAAAAAATCAATCGGAAAAAATTTTTAAAATTTGTTCTTTTGATCTTTATTTGGAATTAAATCTACTTTTTACTTATTTATAAATTATTATTATTATTACGATAACAATAATTTATGTATGATTTCTATTTTGACGCTTTTTATAATAATAATAATAATAATAATAATATTTATACTAAGGAATATTATAATAATAATAAGAAGGAATAATTTAAATAAAGTAACCTTTCTTACCAAATAATAATAATATGTAATACAGTAATAATAATAATAACAATTGATTACCACGTGGCTTTTTCTCTTTAATATTCTTGTGCAAAAAAAAACGTTTTTTATTTAGTTACAAAATTTATTTGGTGTAACATACATACATATTAATATGTTTAAATTAGAGTTGGTTTTTCAAAAAAATCAATCAACCAACCAAAGCTTTGATAAATTATATAATTCGTTAAATTTATTTTATTGTCCGCTCGCTCATGGACTGACTAATACGATATTATTATCATTAATATGGAAAAAATCATAGAAAATGGAGTTATTTGTTGTTTGTTGTAAATTTATTATTAATTTAATAAGTAAATAAATATATTAATAATAAATAAATAATAATAAATATTCTAATATCACACACATCACACACAATCAACAACCATCTAACAAATTATATACAATTATATACAATAATAATAATAAAAGAATTACCGATGATAAAAACAAATCATCATCACAAACCTAATGTTATATATCAAAATTTTTCAAATATATAAAAGGCCTAATAAAAATAACTTATTTTCCTAAAAAATTTACATTTTATTTTTTAATTAATAAAATTACAAATCTCTTGCGTGCTTTTTTAAACTCCACCCACACCCACACCCACCAACCCACCCCACTATTACTATCATTTTTTTTGTATTTTACTGACGCTTGCTTGCTTTCTACTCTCTAAGGAAATAAAAAATAGTAAATTGTTGCTAATTTACCAAATTTGTAAATTTAGATCAAGATTACGCTTTGTTATCACGCTGTTTTGATCTAAAAAAAAACAATTCTTGAAATCTAATTTAAATTTTCACGTTGTTGTTTAGTTTTCTTATTTTCCCTTAAGTAATTGTAATTATTATTTGCTATTTTTAAAGTTCCTCATTAAAGTTTTTTTTATTATTACATATATTTATACATATTATAAGTATATTTTAACGAAAATAAATACCTTTGATATATTAATAATCACCCCTATTTTTTACTTTATAATATAAATTAATTATATAAATATTATTATATATTCCTTTCTTTTCTTTCTTTCTTTCTTTCTTCCTTTTCCATCTTTTTTCCTCTTCCACACACAAACTTGCGAAATTTTTCTCTCTCTCTCTTTTTTTTCTCTGAAATTTTCCTACATTTATTATTATTATATCTCTAATTAATATATATATATATATATATATACATAATTTTTAACGATTTTTATGAAAAAAAAGCACGCAAAGGAAAATAAAATTTAATCTCCGATCAAAACTTTCTTTTTTTATTAATTAAAAAATAATTCCTTCAAAAAAAAAAAATAACACTTATAAATATTAATCATTTCCCATCCACCCACTTGCTCGCTCGCTCACTCACTCGTTCATTCTTCTCCCAAAGAAATCAAAATCAAACAAATCAAACAAATCAAACAAATAATTTAAAAAATAAAAAAATGCATACTACAACTACAACCAACTCTTTCACAGCCTCACCTTTCACGACTTCTTATTTTTTTAATGATCAACAACAACAACAATTTCCTTCTGCTAACAATGCCATCAACAGAAACACCATCAACAGAAACCATCATAATACAATGACTAATTCCTCTTCTTTGGCTTCTTCTTTGAGTAATGATTTTACTTTTGCAAACATCTATCAACCTTCTTCACCTTTCATTCAATCAAGTTATCATCACTTTTCTACTTATCCTCCTTCTGCTTCTTATGGCTACAATAATAATAATGTCAACAAGGTTTATACAACCGAAAAATATCCGTCCTCTTTCTTACCACCTGAAACTGGCTCTTCTGCTTCATCTTCAATACTCTCAACTTCGCCATCGTCGATTTCTTCTTCCTCATCCAATAGCGCTGAAACTCAATTTTCACCTTCTATTAAATCCGGCAACGGTAATAATTGTATTGGTAGTAAAAGATTGTCAATGTTGTTTATGGAAACTGATCAATTAACGACATTGGATGAAGAAGAAAATCAAGACATCGATGATGATTATTATAATATTACCACTAGTAACAATAATAATTACAATAATAATAACAATAAAACTACCGATTACTTTAATTTCCTTCAACAACAACAACAACAACAAGCCAATAATAATAATGCAAGAGTATTGAAGACTAAAGGATCTAGAGCTTCACTTCGTAGCAATCGCAGTTCTCTCTATTTGGATCCTATTATGGAAGAAGGGGCTAATAATTTCTTTTAATGATTGCCAAGATTTGGGTAAATGATAAATAATCGGTGCAGTAATCATTTGGTAGCAAATTAATTAAGGATGGATGTGATGGAATAATGTGATGGAATGTGTAAATAATAACAACAACTAATATTATTTTTTTTTTTTTGCATATTGTTGTTTTTTTTTTGTATATTTTAATTTTCTCATTTTTTTTATTTTTCTCATTTTTCATATTTTGTTTTATTCATTTTTTCATTTATTATTATTTTTGTATATAATCTTTTTTCTCTCATTTTTTTTTTTTTTTAGCAATTATTATTTTTTTTTAACCAATAATTTCAGCTAATAATTTCCAATAATTTCGGGTGATTATTTTATTAATTTTTACCAAGCTCTCAAGTATTCTTTCAATCATATATATATATGTTAATGGTAATTCAAAAAAAAATTAAGTTCTTTAATTTCCATTAATAATAATAATTAATTATTAATTAAATAATTAAATAAATAAATATAAATATTATTTTATAATAAAAATACAATTTATCCTTTAATGATTAACGTAATTAATATGTATATATTCTTCCTCAACTAATTAAAATCAATCAATTAATTTATACATTTAAATCAGTAGTAACTTCCCTTTCCTCAACTTTTGTTTCATCAAAATTCCGGCCCCCATTATCATCGTTACCTTTGACATCAGTGTGATCCCTACCGATAGAAAGAAAAGCAGGAGGACTGTAACTAGGCCTTGATTCTGGATTGTAATGGTATAAACACAATCCTATGATTGTGCTAACAAATGATATAGGGTAAAGATGATGCATCTACAAATTATAATAATCAATTAGTGGAAGGAACTATCAAAAACCAAATTCTAGTTATTATTATTTATTTACCTGGGCACCGAATAATAATAAACTAAATATTAATGAATAGAAATCACTTGTTTGTAAAGAAAGATTAAAGAATGTAGCTGATGATAATTTGAAGAGTATTGGTGCTCCAGTATAAAAACACACCATTGAAATAGTGTATGTAAGTAGCATTCCAACTAAACATATGAAGTGAGGTGGTGTGATGTGGTGTGATGTGGTGTGGTTTGAGAAAAAATTATCAAATTTTTGAAATTATTTAAATTGATTTGATTGTTTATTTGATTACTTACCACTACCTCCACTCCATTCTACAGCAGAAAGTTCTTGACGCTCTAAAATTGAACTAAAAAAAACCACTTGAATTTTTAATATATATATATATATATATATATATATATTAATTTCAAATAAAAATTTGCAACTTACAGTTGAATACCACTGATAATCATTGCCCAAAATGCTAATTGTCCAACCACCTCATACACTGATCTTTGTCTCACAAATAATTCTTCTAGTACATTACTCGCACCATAAAGTGTTGCACTTATGATACAAAATGCATCACCAAGTCCCATATTCACGGCTATTAAATAGATAAATGGGGTTTTTTTTTGTTTATAAAGGAAAAAAGTTCTACAAATTATAAACCAAAAAATTTGCAGTTTTTTTTTTAATCTATATATATATATAACTTACCACCACTAAAATCTCGTCCTGATTCAAGATCTCCTGCAAGCAATACTCCAATACCAACAAGACATATCACCACTCCAAGGTATTGACTCCAATGATATCCAACCTTTAGGAATAGTATTGATAATAACATACAAACTGGGATTGCCCACGTATCAAGCAACATTACGGAAAGAACTGAGGTGTAAGCATATGCCTTTACCACAAAATAATTGCCTTCAACATCAAACAGTGCAAGCACAAAATCTATAATATTATATATATATATACACACATGTATCATCTAGTTATAATTAATTGTGATATAATAACAATAACAATAACAATGCTGTTGTCGTTACTACACCCATCCATCCATCATCTTTAATCATTTACTTACATTTTAAAAATCGATAATCCTTCAGATTAAAAATTTCCAACCAACCCCTAAACCCTTTTTTGTAGATGGTTAGTGGCGTATAAATCAAATTCAATGCTACATAGGTAAGAAAAGTTTGAAATGTGGGAACGCTGATATTATACTTCGTAAATAATTCATTACTGGTAACTATGGTCGTCGTAATACAAAATGACAAAAATTGTCCTAATGCTATACTAATCAGAAATTTGGGTGTAAAATAACGGGAGTTTATTACTCGGTTGTAAAAACTTTTGTCAGTATCATTATTATCATTATTCACATTATTAGTGTCTGTAGTGGTGGTGGCATTATTAACAACAACATTATTGGCATCACTATCAAGTACGACATCTTGTTTCTCTTGTTTCTCTTGTTTCGACATTATTGCAATTTTTTTGTGTGGTTTTTTTTGTTCAAAATAGTATAAATTAGGTTTTTGTCACTTTATTAAAAAAGTCACCAACTTTTCCTCGAAAAAAAAATCTAAAAAAGAATTTATTTAAAGCTTTTATATGTTATTTTTTATCGGACTAATCCATCTTATGTTTGTTAAACATTGCACAAAAAAGGGTATTATTAATATTGTTAAACAGTTTAACTGTGTATTGATTACAAAACAATTAAATAATTATTAAGATTAATTGATTTGTACAAATTGTTTATTACATTCGTTACACTCTCTCGACAAATTTTTTTAATAATTCCATATTAAATCTTGCATAATAGATGAAAACTTTATATATCAGTTTGTTCCTAGATTCTTGTGAATATATTGATGCTTCTCTATCATCATCATTTTCATTAAACCAAATTAAAAAAATGTTAATCAATTTTTTTTTTTCCCCGCATTAATTAAAATGGAAAAACATACATACATACACACTAATCATATCTGAACTTTGACATGGGATAATAATAAAAGTCTTGAATAAACAACTATGTCGTTTTGAAAATTTTTTAAAACAATTAACATAGTCAATTTAATCACTAATTTAATAAAAATGGTACAAAAATCAAATTTTGCGTATATGTATATTCATTCATAAGAGTCTAAGCTACAAGACGATGTTTTTTATTATCTAAAAATTTAAAAAACTTTGTCCGGATACTTTTGGGTATATCTACATGTGAAAAAAAAAAACATTTATTGTGTGTGTGTGTGTGCGCTTCAACAAAAAAAAAAACTACTACAAATTCTCTTTTTCGCACTGGTGCTCGAGTTGCTCGTTTCGCTGTTGATAATTGATGGACGATGTTAACGGTGATAGTGTCAATGATGTCATTGTTTTTACAATTAAGAAAAGGAACATAGTAGAAAATGGCAATGCCAAAAATTCAGAATTGAATTATCTTTGAATTACCATATTGCGTACTGCTCAAGAAGCATTCTTTAAGAGTATGGCACATCTTTTCATGCAAAGGTGCTCATTATTATTATTAACCAGGACGTACTTGAAAAAATTCTAGAGCTAGATTCAATATGAAAAACAACAATCTGAGGTGGATCAATTGAAAAAGTGGTTCGAGATTAAAAGAGTGCATTGTTGCATCTTGCCATCGTTTTAATAATAATGTATATATTATCAATTGTCTGTAGAAATTACTAACCAAATATGGAAAGAAAAATTAAAATGTGGAGGCACTTATCACACGTTACACGTATCAAAATGGTAAAAGCTAATGTTTTAATTCGTGTAACGTGACACTCCAGGCACAATATAGTTCCGATAAAAATCCGATCATTGGCTATTATCGTATCACAAAAATAAAATAAAATTAACCAATGAAAATCATTCACGCAAAATAATTCAAGAGGATTGATTTCACAATTTTTTTTCATCAAAACCCAATTATATTGATATACTTAACAACATATAATATGGGAGCTTTTCTAGCAAAAAGGGGTTTCGATCTCATATGACCAAAAAATTTTTTTTTACATAATATTGATCTATAACATAAAGATTATAATTGGCAAAAATATTAGACCCTGTTTGCTTAATAAAAAAATGGAGAATTGTAGGCCGGATACCTTTTTAAAGTAATTTGCACGCGATCTACATACCCCATTTTTTATTGTTACACGCAATAATTTAATTAAAAAATAAAATGTACGTTTATTATAAAATAAATTAATGAATGTTATAAAAATACATAATAAATGAATAACAAATTAAATTTAATAAGTACTAGGTTCTGGACAAAGAATATCTTTAAATGGGTCTTGTACATGCTGGCGAATTTTTGTATGCAAATATTTTTTTCTTTCTTCTGTTAATGGAGCAGCCTCAAAAATATTTAATTGACCATCTTTATTAAAATTATCATTCTTTAGAAGTTCAAAAGGAGTTTCCAGGCCACCAGAATTTTTGGCAACATAAACTTTTCCAATATTATCTTTACTAAAATGAAAATGATGGTATTTTGTTATATTTGGTAAATTTCTAAAACTATTTTTAAATAGTGAACTAAAGTCATGCCATCTCCAACCCATGCCACATTTATATCTAATAAATTCATTATTATGTTTTGTTGTTGAATCATTTATAGCTTCTTCAACATGATCAACAGTATTAATGCATCTATTTCTATAAACTTTTTTGATTGATCCAAAAAATCCATCACAGACAAATTTAGTGTGCCCAGGAATCATAAAATTTATATGTATATTTTCATACCAACCCAACATTATTAACCATGACCAAAACCAGAGTGATAGGTTATTCTTATTTTGACCTGAACAATTATCACATGTCACATATAAATTTTTTTCACCAATATGACGAATCTTTTGGAGAAAATCAAAAACCATATTTAAAGTTGTATTAGCTCCTTTTGATGTTCCTTCTGGCAATTAATCTTCTCCTATAGTATAGTTTAGTTGATAATTTTCACCCTCATCATTTTTAGTACATATACCAAAAATATTTATTTTAAAAGGAGTTTTAAAATAAATTGAACCAACTTGTTGAGGTGAATATGGTGCAGAAACACTTTGAGCATAATCATAGCAAATGTGAGTTGATGTTGAATCATTTTTGCATTTTTCAATAGTTTTATTACAATGTTGTCTTTCATGATCTGCTGCTGCAAGATGTTCTTCATAATCAAATTTTATTTCAAGATTTGCATCATTACTTGATGTTACCAATTTTAATCTAAAAATTTTCACAAGTCTCACACAGATCATTTGAAGCATTTAAAAATTTAATATTTGGTGTTAATTGATTCCAAAGTCTCCAAAAAGTTATATACTGTATATCTTGCATAGATGTACCAGCAAAATTATCCTCAAAACATTTTTTGTACTCATTAAAAACTGATCTATAATTATGATGAGTTTCTAGATAAATAATTGGGTCTGAATTATCATGAAGTCTCATTGGAGATGGCAATCCATGTAATTCAGCATAATTTAATATATAATTTTTCACCCTTTCCACTACTTCTAAATCAACAAATGCTCGTGATTTAAGTTTAGGAATATTTTTCATATTACCATGTTGACGATCTTCTAAACCATTTGTTAATAAATGTTTTTGCAAATCAGTTAACACACCTTTTTTAATATCACACAGTTTTAAAAACACAGGTTTACAAATTTGTATTTTTTCATTATATTTATATCTATAGTTATGTCTAATATTTTCATTGTCAAATTGAAAAACCATCAATTGTGTTTTAATAGGAAGTTCTTTTTCTTTTTTATCTAAGCTTTTAAATTCAAAATGTCTCTCAAAAAAGTTTTTAAAGCCTATTTTTTCAAAGCAACTATGTGGATCATTTGTTTTTTTCACACATTTGCAATAAGAACTTTGGAAAAATAATTTTAAATCATCAATTACACCAATTACTAAATCATTTTTTTCATAATCTTCAAATTCTTCAAATTCTAATAAATTATATTCTGGTATTGAATTAATTAAAGACATGTTTTTAATAATATTTTGAAGCAATTTTTGATAATTAAATAGAATATTGATTGGAAAAATTTTATTTGACTTATAAAACTTATTAAAAGCTTTTTACTTTCAAAATATTATTTATAAAAATTTATTTTATAATAAAATAATCTCAGCCGGTATTATAACTTTGACAATCACCGAGTTTAAAAATAGTATCAAATTTTAGGGGGCAATTTTCCTTTTTCGTGTAACAATTTTAATTTGTGATTTACCCAAAAAAAATCTATTTTTATGGAAGACCGTTTTTGCTAGAAAAGGCCCCATATAGTGTTTATATAATATATATCTTGATTAACACATATTTATTATACAAGGACCAAAATTTTTTCGGCTTACACCTTAATGATAAATGATAGAAATGTTATTTATTTATTTACTGTTGCAATATATTTATGTTACGCGTTAAGTTTAAAATGTAGATCATCAAAAATTTGGATGTGATGACAAATTTAGAGCAACTTTGTTATTAATAAAATCAACATCCAATTCCGCTCAGGAAAGAACAAAAATTGCAGTACATTTGTGCAAATTTTTGAGGTGGTGTTATATAGTCTGTACAGCGTCACATTTCTATGTGGTTTCACAATACTATATATTAAAAGTGTGTAATGTCGATCTATCCATAAAAGGATTTTTAACTATCAGAGAGAAACCAAATATATATATTTTTTGTTTTTCTTTCATTCATTTTCAGATTTGGAAACAATTTTTTTCTCATTTTTATTATTTTTTTTGGAAATAATTTTTTTTTTAATTTTTTTATCAAAAAAAAGTACTCGACTCAATCAGATGGTGGTTTTTTGACGCAGTTAAAAATCGAGAGTTTGGGGAATTGACAAAGTGTTCCATCCGATTCAAAAAATAGCTTCTACTAATAATGACAAACAACAACGACGGCAAAGTATTTGTCCAGTTCAAATTCAAAGGACAGCCTCTTCTACTAATAATGACAAACAACAACGACGGCAAAGTATTTGTCCAGTTCAAAGGATAGCTTCTTCTACTAATAATATTAACAACAAAGTATTTATCCAGTTCAAAAAGCAACTTCTACTAATAATGGCAATCAACCACAACAAAATATTTATCCAGTCCAAAGAACAATTTGTCTTCATCGAATTCATCTGAACCAGTCACTTCTTGAAATAGATTTCCGTTACCTACAAGTATTGTACAACAAGGAACAGGGAACACGGATTTTATTGAGGCTGTGCATAATAATAATAATAATTCCCAACGGTTAAACAGAATATTTTATTTATCCGTGAAATTCAATTCAACCAATCAGAAATTTTGTAAGCAACCCATCCCAAAATTTATTATTATTATCAAATTCACACGGTCAGGTCGTGCGGGAATAAGTAGATGACTATCATCATAGTAAACCTGTTCAATCAACAAGCATCCAAAGTAACCTTTTTGTTTTGGGTTTCATTAAAAGGTAATACTTGATATAAAATTAAAATACATTTTAGTTTAAACAAAAAAACCTCCTAAACGAGAAATTTTCTATCTAAACTTGGTTATTTTTAAAACACAATGTACGTTTGATTCAAAACTAGATGATTCAATTAATTCATTCAACAAAAAAATAATTATAATGCCTATTTTAAAAGGTTTAGGTCCTTTCCTATCCTTCATTAAATTTTCCAGTAAATTATCTGACATAGTAGCGTCACCGTAAACTTGAGCACCATTAGTTTTTAAGGGTAACTAACACTAACTTGTGAGTTTTTGAACATTCGAAGAAGTTGGTTGTGATGGTGGGTCACAGTCAACTGAAGAAGATTGCATTTCAATAAAAATTTTTATTCTAAAAAAAAAAAAAAATAAGAATGCAAATAAGAAATTTTTTTTAATATCTGCTTTTTGTAAAACTATTTTCAGCAATTTCTGAGTCAACAACAATGAAATCACGAACATTTGAAAGCAATATTGATATCAGTAAATGTGCTGTACCATTATTATTAACTATAATAGTGTAGTTGATTATTAATTAATAGAGAAATTTTGATCCACATCGCCTTCACAACTCGGACAAAACGCTTTTAAATTTTATTTTTAACATTATTATTTATTATATTATTAAATTTATACATGTATTTACGGAACTTTTTTATTTTAAAATTATCATATTATTAAACAAATTAGGAATTCGCCTCTCAAAAAAGTAAATTATTCAAGCGAAAATAGGAATTCCAAATGTTGTACCGGGATCATTGAATCTTAATTTTCTGTCCAATGAAGAGATTGCTTTAACTTCCTCGTCGGTCAAAGTAAATTCTATGACTTTATGATTTTCAACAAGTCTACTTGGATTAGTTGACTTTGGTATAACCACGATATTACGTTGAACTGCCCAACGAAGTGCCACCTATCATTACAACAACGAGGATTGCATAAATATATTATTATTATTATTAATACTGAAATTATCACCATTCATTCCCAATATATATTAATATGAAAAAAAAGACAAACCTGAGCAGTAGATCTGTTATATTTCTTTGCAATCTGTTCCAATATAGGTTCTTTTAACAATTGAGGAGAGTTCTCGTCTTTTTTCGGTCCATAACTACTTGAACGTATAGATGAGTAGGCATTCACTGCCAAACCTTGAGATTTTGCATAATCTACCAATTGTTCTTGTGTCAAGTATGGATGATGTTCTATTTGTAGAACTGCTGGTTTGACACGTGCATATTTCAACAAGTCCATTATCAACGCTGCATTAAAATTAGAAATTCCAATGTTCTGTAAATATATGATGAAAGTGAATGAGTCATGTACGTACACATACAAAATACTTGTGTATATGTATATGTATGTATATATATATATATACACTCACCCTAACCAATCCAGAATCAACCAATTCTTCCATGGCTTCCCATGTTTCTCTAATGGTGACATTTTCTTGAATGCAAGTCTTATTCTTGGTATCGTAATACCAATCAGCAGGATAACGTTCTTTTGGATCAACATGTTTCAAAGAGATAGGGAAATGGATCAAGTAAAGATCTAAATATTTTACTTTAAGATCATTAAGGGTTCTCTCAAGAGCTGGTCTAACATGTTCTTTTTTATGAAAAGTGTTCCATAACTATTTGCGAACTAGTAGTTAAAAAAAGGCTTCGCTCATCACAATTCATCACAATAAATATGTTTATTTGTTTATTTTTATTACCTTGGATGTGATGAAAATATCATCACGTTTAACAATTCCATAATCGATCGCTTTCTTAATCCCATCGCCTATTTCTTTCTCATTGCCATAAAGGGCCGCACAATCCTACATCCATCCGTCAAAAAAAAAAAAAAAAATCACAAATCGTTAAATAGATTACAAATAAAACAAACAAACAATTTCAAATATAAACATTTACCAATAATCGATAATCATTTTTTAAAGCTTGATAAATACTATCGGCAACTTTGTCATTAGGTAATTCCCATGAACCGAAACCAACAAGTGGCATACGGTCGCCTGTCGGTCTTAAAATAATAGCATTATCTGAGGATACCATTTTTTTTTTTTTTTTTTTTGAAATGTGAGAGAAAAAAAGTAAAGGATGGGAAAATAAAAAAAAAGTTCGTTATATAAATAATAATAAATATTTATTTAAACTTTTTTTTATATTAAAAATTTTCATACTTTATAAAAAGAAGCATAATCGGTGTAATTCATCATCGGATGGTTTCAAGGGCTTTGAATTTTGATTCTATGATTAATTAATTAGGATTTCGTCGATCACCTTAGACAACTTATTATTGTTATGTTAGTCTCAAAAAATCCTTTATAAAAAAAATAAAAAACATCACTTCTCACGCATACAATTATATTATTATAATTGTAGATTTATTAGATTTATTTGTGCAAAAGGTATATTTTTTAAAAAAAATTAACTATACTTTTTTTAGAGTAAAATAACAGCAGCGGCAATATTACCAAGTCCGAGAGAACAGAAGTTTTAAATATTGTGAAATTGAGACTCCACATCACCAGGTTGGCTGATTTTCCAGGTGCTGAAGTATATCTGCACATGCTACTAATTTTGCAATTAGGAATCCAGAGGTTATTGATTTTGGTCTTCCTTCTATAAAGATACTAACAAATGTGGTTGGTCCAACACTTTTAGCAGCATCAATGGCATAGACTAATATACTTTTGAATGTTTTAACGTCGCCAACAGTAACTTTGACAGCAGTATAAATAAACATTTTATATGATATAATTTAAAGTTTGAAAATGGAGTTTTTTTTTGAGAATAATAGTAATTCCAGTAACAAACAATTCTCTCGTATATAGTATTATCAAAGAAGTAGAGATTGGAACTGGTTTCAACCCAATTATAATAATATAAAGTTTGATTTTATGGGAAGGAAGTTTAATCGATTAGGATCAGATGAAATACACGCACTCAAACTCAATGCTATTACACTTGCTGCTCCATAATATAATAATGGTACATATAGTCAGACCTTGTTTCTATGAATCTATGAAACACACAAGAAAATTTCATTTAAACTAATCATGTCTCAACGAATTTTATATGTTTTAATAATTATAATAAGATTCGTTGAAACGAGGTTTGAGTGTGCAAGCAATAAAATAGACAGTAAATAACAAAGATCTTTACACCGGATGTTGGAACCAAATTCGGTCGTCCGAAATAATCCGATTTTTTCGAATATAAAAAAAATAGGAATCGAATGAAACTATTTTAAGAGAAGAAAGTCAAAATTAGCTTCGAGACCTTGACTTTCGTACAACCGGGTACAAAATAGCTTCTGCTAATAATGACGAATAACAACAACAATGTGTGTTTATCTGGAAGTTGTTTTCTCTAATACTGACAAACATCAACATTATTTATATTATATTAATTATCCACAAAAAACAATAGCGGGTTTTATATGTGCGTATAAAATTTTATTATGTAATCAGATTTTCTGCTCAACTCTTTCTGGTGATAATAATTCGCATTTTTAACTTTTTTAACGGTCGAATAGTTTTCTCTATCAGGATTAACTATTAGTATATATATAAATCTTGGGAAATTGAAAAAATGAAATTTGCAAGAGCAACTTTAACATAAAAAAAAAACTCTTTTCGTCATCAAACTAGTGACATATCCACCGTGACTCAACAATAAAAGGATTTTAACGATCTTTCCTTTACTTTGTTTTCTATTTTCACCACTTTTAAAACTTCAAAATCAAAGCTTGTACCAAACCTGTCTTATGTACCAATATTGGCCTGTCTATGTGTATTTCAACTCGGACACTAAAGCGCGTTTTAATTTTATTATTAATAAAATATCATTATATGTCACTATTATGCGCAATTAACTTCAAAGCCAAAAACCATCAAGTTAATATTGACCCTCCTGTGTGCTTCAAACTCGGACACTAAAGACGATTTGAACGCAGAAATATAATAACAAAAGAAGAAATATAGTGACAATTGTAAAAGAAATCTTAGTAATAGTTAAAGAAAAAACTCTTGATTGGTATAAATTAATTATTGGTTTACTACCGGTTGAAGTCTTTGGAGCATTGTAATTTGGCAATTAATTTATTATTTATTAATTAATTTATTAACTGAATTATGGTTTATTATCATCGCAATTACCTTTGGTGTTGTTAGTCCTACTATTATTGCTTATTATGTTTAAAAAAAACCATATTTATGGTTACACTATCATTAAAATCCAAATACTCTAGTCGATTGCTTTTCATTAATCGTTATCAATTAATCAATTATTTTTTATTTTCTTACGAGAAAAAAATTTAACTAAACAACAACATCAAAATATATTATTAATATAATACCATTAATAATAAATTATTAAAGGTATTTATGTACGTTATGCAACATTGCATTAATATTCTTTTTTTTTCCTGAATTAGTTAATTTTTATTAATTATAGAAATTATTTGCAATTCAATAATTCAATTAAAGATTATCACGCGACATTAAATTTGATATTCTTTCTTTGTATATGATTACTTAATAAAAAAATTTATTATCTCATCTAAATAAAATGAATTCATTAGTAACAAATTTTGCCTTTATATCTGTTGTGCGAGAAATTTTCGCTGATTCTCTTTTATTTTTTCTAATAAATAAAGCACAATCCCACTGAAAAAAATTAGTGAACAATTAAGTCAACAATATTATTATTATACATTACGCAATCATTTTCTTTTTCGAAATCGTCTTTTTTAAACAAAAGCAACAAAATTATTTCATCGACAGTTTTTCAAAAGCAATAGTATTTATATTGAAAAAAATTCTGTATTTTTTAAGGCTGGGAGTATAGGTATAGAAATGGCACATGATAGATTGTTAACACAAGACAGAAAAGAATTTGCATCGAAAATATATAACAGAACGTTTAATAAGGTTTTTTCAACTTCATTGGACAGAGAAAATAAAAAAAGTTATTTTTTACAATTAGTCGAAGAAAACAATGAACTATTAGAAAATGAAAAAACATATTGTAGAGAAAAATATATTTATGTTTTTGAATTAAATAATGCAAGAAACAAACAAGGAAAACCAAGAGAATGCAACGAGTGCAAAACAACAAGATACTCTGATAGATTTTGCGAAACGTGTATTGGTCTACACTTGCAGAGTTTTTACAATACTTGGTCATCTGGAAATGAGATGATTGATGGTTTTGTTCAAGAATGTCAACGGCTTTCATCTCTTCCAGGTAGCATTATAGAATGGATACCTTATGAACAATTTTATAATATAAAAAAGTTAACAGAAGGTGGTTTCAGTTCAATTTATACCGCTGTGTGGACAAGAGGAAGAATTTATGATTATGATGAAAATAAAAAGGAATTTTGTTATTTTGGAGCTCACGATGTAGTATTAAAATCATTAAATAATTCAAATAATCCAGGAAAATCTTTTTTTGATGAGGTGATTGATCATATTCAAACTAAAATAAACTAAATCAACACTTTTATTTTTTAATTAATTAGTTGATTGATTGACTTGTTTATTTAATTACAGGCATTGAATTATTGTAAAATTAATTCAAATTCAGTTGCTCCTTGTTATGGCATAACCAAATCCCCAGAAGATGGAAATTATGTAATGGTTCTTAGTTATTTTCCACGAGGAAATTTAAAAAATTATTTACAAGAAAATCATTCAGATTTAACATTAAAAGACAGAATTACCATTTTTGCCTATTTGTGTTATGCATTACATTACATACATGAAAAGGATTTAATTCATTGTGATCTGCACAGTGGTAATATATTAATCAACGAAGACGGCAGTAGTTGTATTACAGATTTGGGTTTATGTGGACCAGTTGATGAAAAATCATCAAATAAAATCTATGGAATCATATCATATATTGCACCAGAACTATTTAGAGGCAAAAAGAACACAAAAGAATCTGATATCTATAGTGTTGGGATGTTAATGTGGGAAATTTTTGCAGGCCATCCACCATTTGCTGACAGAGCTCATAATCATCACTTAATGTTTAATATATGTGCAGGCTTACGACCACCAATACTACCTGAAATGCCTGATGATTATGTGCAAATGATGCAAAGGTGTTGGGATATGGATCCAACCAAGAGACCGACTATTATGGAGCTTTTGTTATTTGCTGATATTAAATTTAAAGATGAAAGCCTTTGGGGAAATGGTGGTGGTAATGGTAATGGTGGTATTTCACAACTAATCCACAAATCACATCCATTGGCATATCATACAAGTAGAATATTAAATGATGACATTTCTATATTAAATGATAATGCCTCTAAATTGAATTTAAGTAATGATAGCTTATTAGATTATGTAATGTAAAGCATAAATTAAATAGATGGTTAATTGAATTTTATTAATGTTACTAATATGGTTTAAAATGTTTATAATTATATTTATTAGAAATGTCATTGATGTTACTTATTATTTTAACATATATATAATAAATTCATATTTATTGAATTTTTCAATAAAAAGGGTTAATTCGTGGTCCGCCGATCAACGATAGATTTTTAATATGTAGATCCGGGATATTAAACATTAAAAATTGACATTTTTATTTTAAAAAAAATGTATATTCTATTACTTTTTTTTTAAAAAAAACTCTTAAAAAAATAATAAACTGTTTATTTTATATCTATAAATTCTATAAAAACTTATTTCAATCATGAATAATTTATCTGTGCAATTATTATCTAGTG